GACGGCCACGGTGAAAAGCCCGACGAGGGACGCCCCCACCTTGGGCGCGGGAGAGGTCGCTTCGTCGTCCGCGCCATCACCGTTCATGTCCAGGGCATTGGCCGCCTTGGGCACGTTGGCGGCGGCGTCTTTCACCTTCCCAGCGGCTTTCTCCACCGCGGACTTGGCCTCGTCCGCCGTATCTCCGGCCGTCGCGGCCTCCGCGTTGTCATCGTCCGCCAAGACGTCCCCAGAGACGGAATCCGCGGCAGCCTGAGCCCCGCCCGTGGCGCTGTCCACCGCACCTTGAGCGGCGTCTGCGGCGGCCCCAGCTGCGCCCTGGGCGGAATCCACGGCCCCTCCAGCGGCCGCCTGAGTTGCCGCTGTAGCTTCCTGAGCCGCCTTCACGGTGGCATCAGCGGCGCCGGTCAAGGCATCTTTGATACCTTTGATTGCAGACTTGGCCGTCAGCTCGGTCGGCGACCCGTCATCACCTGAGGTGCCATCGTCGTCGGCGGAATCATCCGCTGACTGCGCCAACTGATCTTTGGCAGTCATTTCTGTCGAGGACCCCGTAGACTCGTCGCCATCATCATCATCGGCGGAATCATCCGCTGACTGCGCCAGCTGATCTTTGGCAGTCATTTCTGTCGAGGACCCCGTAGACTCGTCGCCATCATCATCATCGCCATAGTCGGGATTCTCCGTGTCCGTTGCAACCTGAGAGTTCTTAGCGGCTTTTAGTGCTTCCTCAGCCGCGGCGTTGGCGTTGTCAGCGGCCTTCTTGGCCACATCACTCCCTTTCGCCAACGCATCACTGGCCGCTTTCCCCGAGTCCGCGAGGGTGTTACCTCCCACCAATTTCCCGGCAGCTAAGGCCTCTTTCGCCTTTTCAATCATCTTGCAGGGTCCCAGCGTGTCCTGGATCCCAACCAGGGGCGCGGCCATCTCCTTCGCGTCGATCGGAAGAAGGAAACTGTAGTTAATGCTCTCCTGGGGCTCAAGCTTGAAGGGTGTCAGATTCTCAAGCTCCTTGGGGACGGTTTCTATCGCAGCCATGCCCAATTTAAGGTCGTTCGAAGCAAACTTGAGCTGGCAGATAGCTTCGGGGCCCTCGTTCGTGAGGGTGCCTTTCACCCACGCGAAGGCCTGGCCGTCTGCGATGCGTATCGGGGATTTTCATCATTTGTAATGCGACGAAGACCATTTCAAGCATTGACAGAGACTTGGGTCGTTGACGTGGAAAATGACTGGCTTAATGTTTTAATTATCCTAGACTTACCCTTCTCCTTGTCGGGAACAGGAGTAGCGGCGGAATCCTTATCTTCGCACATGAGCAAAGCGATCTTGGAGACATCATCACCAATCGTATAGCAGCCAACCTGGCCGACCTTCGGAGCCACAGTCAAATCTGGGGCCACCAACCTGCTCATTGGGAGGACAGGAGCAAGAGACAGAGAAATTAGTGGCTGCTCAACACATCCCTTTTTTTATCGGCCATGCTATTTGGGTTCTTCTCGACCCCTCTTTCACACTTACACAATAGCTTCTTCTCCAGGTTGGTTCGAGATGGAGATACCCATGGGGGTCTTCGCGTCGCCCAGGGTAATCGAAGCGGGCTTCGCATCCTCAGTCTGAATAAGAATGTTTTGCAAGGCGGACTTAACGTCCGCGGTTTGGCCATTCACCAAAGATGTGACAGCAGGAGCGGCATCCTCCGCTGCAGCAAAGGCGGCGTAAGTGAGAGCAGCGACAAGACCAGCGCGACGCATGTTCAATTTAGGTGTGGTGGTAAGAGTAGAAGTGTTCTTTGGCTGTTTGTGAGTTGTAAGCGGTGTGTGTTATCGACTTAATCACTTCGACAGAATCTTTTACCGGAACCGAGAAGGGCAATTGGATGTAAGGCTTCCTTTAAATGAGAAGCGAAAGCTATAATTATAGATCGACCACAAACACCTTCAATACGTCGATGGCGACAGAACAGTGACCGGGGCCACGTCTTAATTGAACGCACACACAGAGTTTCATTGCGCTGCACACCAGATCGACAGTTGCATGTGCGAACGAAAACGCATGGCGAGGAAGCAAGGTAAAACGGGAAAGATGGTCGTATCGCAAGTGCCGGAGAAACAGAAACCCAACCGCGTTCAAATCGAAACGGCGTTGTCGCTCTCCTTCTCAAGCGGAGCACCTTCCCACGACAATCACTTAGGAGCTCTGCGATCTTGCGCACAAACTATGAATAAACCAAGAGGGTAATTGCACCTCGACATGCTTTCGGTTTCATTATGTCTCACCCGTCACAAGTGACCAGCGAAATTTGCGGAAGCTCCCCCAATAGAAAAGCAGAGACCCCCGAATCTCCCGAGTTCTTACCGGTCAATTAGCCGTTATATCAAGTAACGGAGATTCAAACTATGCGAAAGCTTTACATTTCGCCCATACAGGAATGATGAGAAATTGAAAAAAATCCTGCATCACTATTTCCAAATCATCCGTCGGAGATCAACTTCTTCCCAGTGCAGAAGAGAGGTATTTGAGAAAGACATTCATTTCGTTTTTCTTCCACACGTTTGTCACAAATCTGGCGATTCCCGGAACTCTCCCAGGTATGGTTTACTCAGCATCTTAACTTAAAGTCCTTGCCAACGTAGGAAAGATGTCCATCTATGCCTTCAATCCATGCATTTTAGCTTTCATTACCTTTGCATGTACACAATCCACATTTACAAACACGTGCGTATCTATTCACATAAACCTCAGACTGCTTGGATTTAACTAGTTCCCTTGTACAAATCACATGGAAGCTGTCTCAGTCATGCTTAATCACTAACCGGTTTGAACCCTAATACTTCTGCCTCTTTCGGAAACCATCGAGTGAACAGGCATGTGGCTGCATAACCATAGTCCATGTCGACGAAATATACCAAGGCGCCGAAAGCAATCAGATAGAAGGCTAGGTTCACTCGCACTAAGTTTAGTGGTGCAAAGGAAGAGAAAGTAAGCATTTTTTTTAAAGCAACCGATATAACGTACTCGGAATGGCTCAAGAGAGACCAGTTGAAACAGATAAAAACTTACTTGACATGCCCATAGGGTCGACGATAACTCCTGTGTCTTTCCAGTGTAAGAATAAAGAGTCGTATGCGTATCTTTCAAGGCAAATAATTAAGACTATCACTCATTATAAAGTGGTGCTTACCCTTTGGGAGTGTCTCGGTACCTGTTCCCGGTGGGACCTCGAATTCTGCCTGCGATACCTCTTGACGGATCGCCGCACGCACTTGAGATTCCGATAAACCCAGCGTGCTCTGAAAAGTCCGAGGGAGGCGTTGAAATTGCTGCCACACGCGGTCTTCCCGAAGCAAAAGGCGGTGGAGTGCGTCAGCCTGGGCTTGCTGTTCTTGTCCATTGCAGCGAGATTTCCGGGTGGTCGAGAGGGGAGAAAAATGACTCTTAACCCTGTCAACGGTGCAGTCGTGGCGGATGCTTGAAATCTTGCTTGGGAAAATGTCACAGCTGTCTCCGCTGGAGTCATAATTCCACATCTTTGACGTAATTGCATGCGCCCCCGAACAAGTGCTGGTACGCCTACAATCTACATTTACATCCATCTCCTCCGGCTTGTCCCCAAGTCTTTGAAATCTTTTTCGATCGCTTTCTGACTGCAATGGCTTGCAGTGTATAGGTCCCAGTACAGAAGAGTCGAAAGGCTCTCCCGGATACACGGTTAGGACTGTTATAATGATGAGGCCGATGGCCACGCCAGCCTATTTCAAACATAAGGCGTGTTTGAGGATAAGGACTGCTAAGGGATGCCATTTTTAAAAAGATGGCTCAGAAGAGCAAATTTTCTTACCAGTACAAAGCCTAGCAGCTCGTGAGTGCGCGGATGTTGCGTGATATACTCGCAGGACGGGAAGTCGAAATTGAAGAGGGGCGGAACATTACGGGTCATGTTGATAAAGTGAGTCGGCGCTCTTAAAAGAGAGTGCGCAGGAGCGAACGTGGCTTCGACCGTTGTAGGCGTTCTGTCAGTTCTTATGTCAATGATGACGGGTATGCCTGTATATAAGAACCAGGCAGGCGAGCTTTTCATTGGTCAGGTTATACTATTCGTCCTTTCTTTTCGCCTTATGAGCCGTCGTTCGCCAAGCGAGCGAACGAGCAGCGGCCCTCTCGCCAACCAACGTGACCTGAAATCCAAAAACCTTACACTTAATGAATAGACACGCTTCGGACACAGGTATCCGAGGAGTGGCTGGCCCGACTTGGGAGGACTCCGTGGCAGCGACTTCACTTTAGCTTGTTGGTAGGGTCGGCATCTCTAAGGGATATCTTCACCTCCCCGCGGCCTCGTCCTGTGCTTTTCGATGGCAGACGATGGGAAAACTGTCGGAGACCACGTCTTGGTCATCCTCTTCCTGCTTCTTGTGTTGCTCGTGGGCTGGACATACTGGTTTCGTTCTCGTCCCCGCACATCCGAAGTGGACTTCGAGGTGTGTATCGGGATTATTGAGCTGGGCGTGGGAGGGTTAGCCAGCAAAAAGCGTCTGAATGCCTCAAGCATGTTAGCTTCTGTAGGACTTCACATCACCTTCTGGCTTTGAAAATGGGTGTTTACACATTCAAATTAGTCACTCATCCAAGTTACATCCCGCATACCATAGAGAGAAGGCGATCAAAAGACGAGAATAAGACATGAACGAAATATTTAAGCTCCGACCGCACAACGAGACAAAAGTATTTAACAATGCTGAAATGTGAATCGAAGCAAGGAGAGACGCAGGGGTGAGAATAGATGGTTTAACAAAGGTGAAGTCCGATGGATCGCAGGGTGAAATGGGTGCGTAGGGGAAAATGAAAGGGGGAAAGGGGGGGAGGAGGAAAAAGAGTGTTCCAAACATACATGCGACATGGACCTTCTCGAAATATTTGTGTGATGACGTCGGATTGGAATAAATTGATATATAGGCATTCAATGGCAACCGATGTACAATCGAAACAATCCTATAATCACAGAATTGTGCCAAAGGCCGTGCTTATGGAGGGAGACATGAAAGGATGAGGTGGTTACCAACTCCCTTGGGTTTTGTCCCCGTTGCATAAGCCGTGAGAGAAGTTGTTGTGCAGCTTGCAGTGTGTCTTTTTTCATTTTGAGTCTAGGGGTATGGAATATGCATCGACTAGAGAACGTTGGGTTCCTACTGTCATATTTTTCAACTTCTTTTCCTCTCTCGTCTTCATAGAACGGTATAAATATGAAAGGACTGGGTTCTTTGAAGACAAATGTTGAAAAAGAAGGAGTTGCAATTTGTCCCTGTGCATCATTTGGTTCTATGGAAGAGAGCGAATGGAGAGCACGGCAGGACTTCGAATGTTTCTCGAGAGTACTCTTTCTCCGTGTCGAAACCCACAGATCCTTCACTCCACACGGCATTCCCTTCCTTCTTCTTTCACAGGCTGTCATTCACATTTATGGAAACGGCAATAAGGATCGAAGGAGCGTCTAGGTCTTCAAAATTTCAAGATGGGCTTGCGCTTTACTCCCGCCTCGAGCCTTGTCTCTACCCCTCTTTGAACCCCGCCCTCGTCTTGGGGCACGACATTTCGCACCACTGTCCTTCCCTCATGTATGGAGAGCTGAGCGGAGAGACTCTGGTAAAAGCCTTAGGCCTGATTGATGAGTTAGAAGCCCTACCGAGAGAGGGGGAAGGCTCGCTTATTGACATTGGTTCGGGAATTGGGAAGCAGATATTCACGGCAGCATGTGTATACGTCTGGAAGCGGTGCATTGGGGTGGAAATCTATGAGAAACGCGCAAAACTTGCAGAACAGGCATTGCAAAGATGGAAAAGTAAACAGAGTAGTATACCCATGCTGCGTACCCGAGTGGTCGACTTCGCTTGCGATGACATTGTCGAAATCGAGATGGAGGGATTCCAAGTCATCCTCCTCGTGTCGGCAGCATTTACCGATACGCTGATGCGGAGCATAGCGAAGGTTCTGGATTCACAAGCGGTCGGGACTTTGGCCATATGTATCACAAAAGCTCTCCCTGGGCCAAAGTGGGAAGTGGTGCACAAATCTGAGCGCGAAGAGCCCTGGGGACGGGCATGGTTAATTATTCAAAAGAAAATACTTGCGTGATAAATAACGATTTGGCCGTGCGGGTGCTCACAAAGTCGCTTAACAAATGCAATAAGTCCCGCGATGTGCATCTCGGTCCATTTGCTTCTTCATTAAGAGTTAAATTTTAGGATTTCACGAGCATACCTTTTCTACAGTGATATGTAGTGGCAGTTGTGTACATTTTCAAAAAGCATTTCATTTGCGATGGTTTTACTATTTTCAAAGCATGGCTCCTTCTTCGAGAGCCCGCAGTAATCGTCGGTAGTCGTTATCTCTTCGCATCGATCCCTCTTCCATTCTCCCGCTTTCCCTTACTTCCTCCTCCTCAGCGATCTCATTGTCGCTTTCTTCTTCCTTAATTTGAGTCAGCAGCCTTTTCCATTGAGCACGCGACTTCTTTAAGAGCCTCTCCGCCTTTTTGCGTCCATCTTCCGCTTGCCCAACTCGCTCTCGCCACAAATCAAGGACATCGTCGATGGCCTCCCGTCCAAGTTCCTTCACTTTCGACGTCTTTTCCTTCCTGGTCATTTGTACGGATTCCCGGGCTTCCACGCCCCATCTATGGACACGGTCCTCGTACATTTTCACCTTTCCCTCTGCTTCTTTTAAACGCTCTTTCAAACTACCCACTTCTTCAAGCCGGGCCGCTAGAAGGCCTTTCATCTTAAACACGACATCGTAATGATGCGCCTGGCTAACCGCTCCCGTGACTGTCGGAGACGGACATCTGTTGGACGTCGATAAAGTAACGCCAGCAACTTCAGAGGAAGCCAAAGGAGAAGAGCTTTCGCCGTCCATGGAGGACAGCTGCCGACTTAGCTTGAAATTTCCTACACTTGCCGTCGTCTTTGCATTACTGGTCGCAAACAGAGTGTGACTCATGCTGGCATTACTGCTCATGAGCAGCTCTTCCAGCTGTTGCCGTCGTTGTCGTGGGGAAGTGACGGGCCTGACGCCGCCATCCGCCTCACTGGCAAGGGCTGCACGGAGGTTGGATACCTGGCCTCGATCACATGATAACCCACGGCTGCTAACAAAGCTTTTGGCAGAGGCGCTGCTGTCCCTGCTGCCATCCAGTTGCAAAGGAGAAGGGGGCGAGGTAGTTTTGAGGCGTGCCGCGCCCGTCCCTGTGGCATGGTGATGGGATTGAACATGTCTTGTAGGAGTGTGCCCGCGACTCGGGCGGCGCCGGTGGTTGGATTGGGGTTGCAAATGGTGCGGTAACTTTCTGCAGAAAGCCGCGTACCGCAACTCGGATTCCATAAGTTTGCGCCCCGCATCCAATGACACCTCCGTCATCGCCGCCACAGCATCGTCTCGGATAAGTTGTGCTTTGACTACTTCTTGGACCAATAGAGCGCCGCGTCTCTTCTCCTCTTGCAAAGCTTCTTGCAGCTGCTCCACCCTTTGTTTGCCCGCGGACGATTCGCGTTCGATGGCTTGACCATGATCCTTGACGACTGCTGTATACAAAATATTTGTCATGTGACATTTTTTAACGGCAAGGCATATGCTTCCGAGTTTTTCCTCAAACTTGCTGAGAATGGACAGCAAAGGGTCGTCCTGAATATTATCATCTCCGCTTATGTCAATCGTATCAGCAGCAACATCGGCGCTTGCAGACTCAAATGTGACCGGAATGGGCTCGTCAGCTACTGATTCCATATGTGGCTGCGGGTTTTGCAATGCCCAGTCAGGCAACCTCAGAAAACGCCCAAGAAAAGCACGACAGAGCCCATGAGCTTGACAAGTACCCACCACCAGTTGCCAATAACGTCCTAGGAGAACGCCTTGTTCTTGTCGCTCCAACGGAGAAGGAAAGGGCATTTTCAGCAAGTGCGCAGCGCCTTCCAGTAATTGATGCGCGTAACCCATTGCCTCGTGGGGGGAACGACCGTCGGCTTGTAGAGCTGCCTCCACTTTATTGTCATCCCGACGAGCCGTCGTCCAGACTCGAGTGTATTCTTCATGGAATGCTTGAATGACAGGGAAGCTGTGTGTGACTGACCAAGAGCGTGTTTCCACATGCCCATGCAGAGGGTCCTGCGGACATCCATGCTCATCCCGCGTGATGCGTTCCACAAGACGCGACGTCATAGTGTAACTTGCCACAACAGACGCATGCTCTCGTCCTGTCCTCACAAGGGGTTGAGCTATCACTGACAAATGCTTGAACTTATCGCTACCGGCCCCGCAAGCGCTAGATGCAGCAGCGGTTATGTTTGGAGTACAAGTAGAAAGGAGGCTCGGGGAGGTGGGCTCGTCTTTTAGAGCTGGGGGATTAGGTGTACTATGTGTGAGAGAGCACGTCAAAGCCAAGGTTTGTGACAAAGGTGTGTTTTCTAAGTAGTGCTGCTGCCCTTGAGTCTTGCGAAAGCCCAGTCCTTTGAGCGAGAATCTCTTGCTTCCCCGAGGAGATGGGTCAATCGTCGCCTTGCCAGTGCGGAAAGTCCTTGTGTCCGAGCTGAGACGGTGGAGCAAAACGGCCCGTTTGGGCGTCTCACGTACAGACGACGGGACATCTGAGGCTCCATCGAGCTTCACATAGGGCCCTAGAGCCTCTTTCCACGATGCTAGGTCTGCAACCTCTTGGCAAACAAGGAAGAGAGGGTCATCATCTCCTGTACAGTAAGACAAGGCATAAAGCCGATCGTAAAAGCGACTTGAAGGCCGATCTGAAGGTGTGAAGGGCTGCAAAGTGACGGAATTCGAGCAGGGCTCCTTGTCCGACACAGTCAAGACACGCTCAATTTTAAAGGAGTTTGGCTGGTCATAGCAGAGAAGCAGCCCATTCCTCAGGACACACCACAACCGAGGCAGGTTAATGAGATGTTTCGCTTTGACGCCATTCATTGACGTTCTCTTGCTTTTTCCCATAGAGGCCGGAGAAATGAGCGAACCCACGTGCAGAAAGCCCGCAAAGTCAGCGTGGTGAAAAGCAAGGGCATGCTGCCGTTGCAATTCCTTTCGTTCCACACGTCGGTGCCAAGATTGAAGTTGCCTCCGATGGCTTGACACGGCCAACGCTGTCTTTTTCTTTGCTTCATTGAGAAGACACATTGCCTCCTCCATCTGGTGCCGAAGTCCGCGCGACAAGTCTCGGGTCCTTTTCGATAAAACCCTTTCGGCCTTGTTCAACTCGGCCCGGGACAAAAAAGACATTTCTCTGGGGAAGCTTTCAACGGACATGCGGGTACTTCTAGGCAAGGCCTTCCGTGCCAAGGACCTCACTCGCTCTTTTATGTCGGTCAGAATGGTGGCCAGACTGGTAGAGAGGTGGAGATAGGATGGTAAGTTCGACCATTCCAAACTCACGCTCCAGGCACGCGACTCCTCCCTTGTGTTAGGGTTTCCTTCCATCTTCACCAGTATGCCTGCTCCCGGTATCCATTGCTCCCAGTCCGCACCAGCTTTCATCTGGTAAGCTGAATGCATGCGGACACGGAAAGTTATGTGGGGGTACTCCACAATTGTTCCAATGTGGTCTCCGTCATTGGGGCCCGGGACGTTTTCTGGCAGAAAAGACCCTTTCAACAGCAGCTGTTCGCAAACGAAACGCAAGGACTTGTCACCATCTGTGGATACACACACAGTAGTCTTCTCGACTGCTCGGTACTCCCACGATCGGGTCTGGGACCAGAAAGAATGTACAGGAATGTTAGCCGTGCTATGTTTGCCCGCTATGGACCGTGGAGACGGGAGAAAGCTGCGCAATAATTCGACCAGCCGGTCCATTGGTCCGTCCTCCAAGGGCACATGCAAGCGAGTGTGGCCAGGGACCTGAATAGACCCAGAGTTGTCGTCAAACCGGAGCAGGATGCCTTTGTCCCTGTCCGTGAGGCCCATTTCTAGCACAGACCGGCCGACATGTGTCATGTGCAACCGATGGAGCAAACCACTGCAAGATACTTTGCTTGCCATTGCTTGACAGGAATAAAAGGCCACTTTAAAAAGAGGGGGGCCTTCTTTCAGAGTGCTCGATGGTATTGTAAGACAGTCACTGTGTTCATAGAGGGTAATCTGCAGCGAAGCACACGTGGCCAGGGCGTCGAAGGAGGAGGAAGCTATGGCATCGAGTAGAAAGGACGATTTGGAGAGTGTTTCGGAGCCGAGGCGGGGATTTGTCCGACCACAATAGGCAGGGGGCCACAACGCAAGCGCCAAGGCTTTACATATTGGTGGATTGATGTGCAAACCGACGGGATCGGGTAAGGACAGGGCGACCGTCAGAGAGGTGTGTGCGTCCAAGGGGACGTACCACAGATCTTCAAGGACAGCCGGACGTGGCACACCCAATCGGTCCTCGACACTAACATATAAATTGAGGGAAGTCGGGGGAAGGACCTCAAAATTTTGTCGGCAGTGCCCATGAGGATGCGCAACCACGTTAACATCGGCCATGCATACTTCCAAGCGCAAAGGAACCAATTTCTTCGGCTGTGACAATAGCGGTGTCAGGGAGCGAGGAGTTCTTCTTCTGCAGCTCTTGCGCTGATTTTCCACTGGAAGACGTAGTCGGGAATCCATCAATTCATGAAAGTAAGAGGAAGGCAGCAAGGAGTGTGATATACGTAAGGATGAGATGCCAATCCCCAGTGAAAATGCCCACCCGGCTTCAGCCCACTCGCAGGCGGCAGGTGCAGAGGGCATTCGAGCAAGGAGCCCCTGGCATTTTACTACCACATCACGCACGCCAGGGGGCGGAAAGTCTTGCAGTGTGTAGTCTCTCGTCTTTCTTCCCCAATCCCCCGACATACAGCGTGCGTCGGTGTGTGTGACAAGAACATCGAGAAGGCGGCGCCAAGCATGAGCATTAGCCAAGACCTGCAGCTTGCGACCAATGTTGACTTCCAATGTACCAGCCAATCGCGGGGGTGGGGGTGGCGGATAGGCAAACGTGTGTAGTTTGAGTCTGACAGTATCGGGCACCTCGAGGTGGGTGTGCGAGGTAGCATCCCCGCGATGGCCGCCCCCGTCGCTCGCCCCCTCCCCGCGCGCGCTGAAGGGCTCCAACGTCGGGTACAC